TCAAGCCTATGCTAGCATTCAATGAGATCATGGCTAATCTGTAGCCTAACTCTAGACACCTGCCTTTGGCCCATATCCCTTAATACCTTTGCTTAACAAAACATTATCCATCACAGAATTAACAACTGATCCAGCATCCACTGCCATTTGTGGAAGCAAGTTCCAAACATCTACTACCCTTTGTGTGCAGAAGTGCTTTCTAACATCTCTCCTGAATGCTCTGGCCCTCGTTCTCAACTATGCCCCCTAGTTCTAGAATCCCCAGCCAATGGAAATTGTTTATCTTTATCTACCCTGTCTTTTCCTTTTAATGTCAATCAGATTGATCAGATCATCCCCTTAAAATTCTAAATTCTAGAGAAAACAAACCTAATCTCTCCTCACAACTTAACCCCTAAAGTCCAGGTATCATTCTTGTAAACCTACATTGTAGTCCCTCCAAGGCCAATCTATCCATCCTAAGGTGGGATGCCCAGACCTGCTCACAGTGTTCCAAGTGGGACCTCCCTCTAAGGTCAATGTGTCATAGAATTGTAGAAGCTCTACAGTGTTGAAGTAGGCTATTCAGTCCATTGAGTCCACACTGACCTTCCTAAGACCTTCCCCAGTACCTTGTCCCTGTAACCTTGCGTTTCCCAGTCCTTCATGAATTTATGAAGGTTGAGTTTCTAAAGTGATTGATGTTCATCTGACGATACTTATGCTGCATTGAACTAGCCCCCGACTCTCCCACCCTCCCTACTCCCAGTGTCCTGCTTACTCTTTTTTTCACTCCTGTATTAGGGATAGGGTTGTGATGAAGGGGCACATCTTTCTCCTGTGTAGTGATGTTAATGGCTAAACTAGAGCAAACATAATACCCAGTCTTTTGTCATGACCGATATAGTCACAGTGGAGGATACTAGTGTGCTCTTGGGCCAGACTTACATCCCCATATTGGGCTGCAACCATTCCTGTCCCCAGGATTGATTTCCATCTCTGAGCAAAGCCACCAACCTTTGATCCTATGTGGAACAAAGCAATCCACTTGACTGGCATCCCATCCACCACCTTCAACACTTACTCAAAACAAAACAAAGAACTGGAGATGCTGGAGATCTGAGGTGAAAGCTGTAAGTGCTGACACATCCATTTCCTCCATCTCCAACGCTCAGTAGCAGCAGTGTGTACCATTTTCAAGATGCACTGCTGAAATTCACCAAGGATCCTTAGGCAGCACCTTCCAGACCAATGACCACTTCCATCCAGAAGGACAAGGGCAGCAGATACATGGAACACCACCCCCTGCAAGTTCCCCTCCAAGCCACTCATCGTCCTGCCTTGGAAATATATCACTGTTCCTGGGTCAAAATCCTGGAACTGTCTTTCTAACACCACGGTGTGCCTCTATGTCCAGGAACTGCTATGGTTCAAGAAGATATCACTATTACCTTCTCAAGGACAACTAGTGATGGATGATAAATGCTGATAAAGCCAGTGATGTCCACATCCTGGTGAGAAATGTTTCTCTATTCCATGTGAAATATTGATTATCAAAAGTAAACCTGAGAATTATTGCAGTGAAACTAAGAGAGCAAACGAGTCAACATTAATTCAGAAGAAATGTTGCTTACGTATGGGCCTTTTGAACTTTCTGACAAAAGAGGTAGAGAAACTGCATTTATATAGTGACTTTCATAACCCAGGAATGTCCCGAGGCAATTCACAGGCGGGGAGGTACTTCTTGCAGATATTGTTGCAAAGTTTGTGCACAGCAAGCTCCCAAAATGTAAAAATATTCAGGCAATCTTTAATTTTATTTTCACTTAAATGATGTTTGAGGGGATAAATATTTGCTAAGGAAGTGGAGATGGCCTCCTTTGCCCAAATTTGAAATGGAACCATGGGATTTTCATGTCCACCAGCGATAGTACAAGGGGCATTGTTTTGACGTCTCACCTGCAACAAGGTCAGAAGTTATTGTAAACTGATATCTCACAATTTCATCCTGTTGGAGCTCATTAATGTTCAGTTTGGAAAGTACATCCTGAGAGATTTTTAATTACTCTTCACTCCTGGTTATTATGAAAGTGCTTTATCTGCACTATAGGGTTACACTGACTCAGAATGACTGTAAACTTCAGATAAACAGATTGCATTTACAAATCCTTATATCACGATTCAGCTAATCACCTGGGCCAGCAACACAATCTGGAGGAAAAACAACAGAAAATAATCTACAGAAAAACATACTGTATTTCCCAACAAGTGGCTGTTGCTAGGTGAATTTCAATCACATTTCTAACCTTCACACAGGAAGTATTGAGGAACATTTAGTGACTTGAATATCATCTTTCTGGAACGTTCCATCACCCCTCTCCAACCTTCAGTAGAGTGAACAATCTCCAATATCTTACAGAGTTGTTACAGAGTCATTCAGTCTTCCTTTTCTGATAAAAGTCTGATTCCCTTTTGAAAGTCTCAATTGAACCTGCCTCCACCATACCCTCAGGCACTTGCTCTGTGAAGATATTTTTCCTCATATCACTTTTGCTTCTGATACTAATTGCTTTCAATCGAAATTCTCTCACATCTCATCCTCTTGTGAGCAGGAACAGTTTCGCTCTTTCCCACCAGTTTATGATTTTGAAAGCCTCCACCCAATCTCCTATTTATCTTCTTTTCTTCAAGAAGAACTGTTCTCAAATTCTGCAGTCTTTCCTCATAACTAATGTATCCTCGGAACAAAATTTCCATGAATGGCTTCTGCACTCTCTCCTATGCCTTCACATCCTTTCTAAAGTGTGGTGCCCAGAAATGGACACACTACTGAGGTCTAACAAGTGTCTTGTACAAATTCAACATAATCCTCTTGCTCTTGTACTCAATGTTCCTATTAATAAAGCTGAGGTTTTGTTTTTTTTGGAATTTCTTCATGAGATGTGGGCATAACTGGCTGAGGCCAGCATTTATTTCCCAGTGGGCAGTTACGTGTCAACTGCATTGTTGTGGGTTTCGAGTCACATATAGGCCAGACCAGGTAAGGATAGCAGTTTCCTTCCCAAAAGGCCATTAGTGAAGCAGATGGGTTTTTTAAAAATTGACAATAGTTTCAAGATCATCATTAGGTCTACTATGGTGGGATTTGAACCCAGTCCCCAGAATATTGTCTGGAATATTTGGATTAATAAGCCTAGTGCTAATACCATTAGGTCAGCAGCACCTTCCCTGGGGTATTATTTATTAACTGCTCTCTCTACCTGTTCTGCCACCTTTAAAGATTTACCCACAAATAAACTCAGATTTCCATGTTCTTACGTTCTGTTTGGAGTTGTACTATTTGTTTTTCATTATCTCTCCATATCCTTTCTTACAAAACATTACACCTCATTTTTCTCTGTATTGAACTTCATCCTGTTTTAATGTATTCATTTTTGGATACGGGTGTCACTGGTAAAGCAAACATTTGTTGCCCATCCTTAATTGCCCTTGAACTGAGCGGCTTGCCAGGCTATTTCGAAGGGCAGTTCACACTCAGCCACATTGGTGTGGGTCTGGAGTCACATGGATGCCACACTGGGTAAGGATGGCAGATTCCATTCCTTGAAGGGCATTAGTTGAACCTGATGGGTTTTGATGACAATCAACAGTGGTCACCATTGCTGAGACAATGGGCAGAATCTAATAAAGGTCTAAGCAACATGGGCTATGGAGAGATTTGTGACAGAATTGGATGAGAAGTCCAGACAGATCCATCCCAATGGCAGGAACACTTTGCTCCATCTTTTATGCTTTTCATAAGAACATAAGAAATAGGAGCAAGAGGCCATCTGGCCCTTCGAGCCTGCTCTGCCACTCAATAAGATCATGGCTGACTTTATCGTGGCCTCAGCTCCACTTACCCACCCTCTCACCATAATCCTTAATTCCTTTACTGTTCAAAAAATTATCTATCTTAGCTTTAAAAACGTACAATGATGAAGCCTCAACTACTTCACTGGGCAGGGAATTCCACAGATTCACACCCCTTTGGGTGAAGAAGTTCCTCCTCAGTTCAATCCTAAATCTGCTCCCCTAATTTTGAGGCTATGCCCTCTTGTTCTAGTTTCACCCGCCAGTGGGAGCAACCTCCCTGCTTCTATCTTATCTATTCTCTTCATAATTTTACACGTTTCTGTAAGATCCTCCCTCATTCTTCTAAATGCCGATGAATATAATCGCAGTCGACTCAATCTCTCCTCAAAAGCCAACCCTCTCAACTCCAGAACAACCTAGTGAATCTCCTCTGCACCCCCTCCAATGCCAGTACATCCTTTCTCAAATAAGGAGACCAAAACCGCACGCAGTACTCCAGGTATGGCCTCACCAGCACTCTATACAGCTGTAACATAACCTCCCTGCTCTTAAACTCAGAGCAGGGGCACAGCAAAATGGGGCTAGAATTGGACACGAGGGACAGCAGGGAGGGGGATGAGCAGTTCATGAGGCGAGTTTGGTAAGATCCAGCGAGAACAAAAATCTCTCCAAATTCCTAACACAACTTGGACTCAGCCAATAGGATTCAACCTTAGTTTTCAAAATTTATTCATGGAATTTAAATCCCACCAGCTGTCATGGTATGATTTTTTATAATTCGTTCACGAGCTGAGGGCATTGCCCGCATTTGTTGCCCTCTACCCGCAGCGGGCAGTTAAGAGTTAACCACATTGCTGTGGGTCTGGAGTCACATGGAGGCCAGACCAGGTAACGATCGCAGATTCCTTCCCTCAAGAACATTAGTGAGCCAGGTGGATTTTTCCCCCGACAACAGATTCATGGTCATCATTAGACTCTGAATTCCAGATTCTTATGGAATTTAAAATCCAGCATCTGCCATGGCAGGATTCAAACCTGGGCCTTCAGAATATTACCTGGATTAACCATTGAATGATAATACTACTTGGGCATCACCTTGCCTGTAATTTTGACCCATTTCACCAAAGCATTAACCTGGGGCTAATTACCTAACATTGATTGCTTACCAGTCTTGTGACATGCTTCCGTCTCTCCTCCCCTCGTCATCTCTTTGCACAGAGAGCAGTGAGAGCATGGAATTCGCAGGGTAAGTCGGAGAGGACCAGGCCGTTCGGCCCCACAAGGCCCTGCTGGTGTTTATATTCACCACCACATTGGGTGGCTGAGGTGAATAGCCCGGTTACACATTTAAGAGCAAGTCCAGGAGGGAGAAAACGGGAGGCATGTGCTGGCAGCGTTAGATACAGGAGAGTGACAGGAGGCTCATGTGACACGTGTCGGGATCTCTTTAGCCAAATGGGCCTGTGTTTCATGCTGTAAATTCTGTGTGAGTCAATACAAAAGCACTTAAAATAACCCCTTTAATTGCCTATTTCCTGTGAGTCCAAATAATTCGCAGTATGACCTGAATTCTCACGTCCTTGTTAACACAGATTCTGTTAGAATCAATTGCACGAACATCAATACCCACTCTGGGCGGAATTGGATTGGTGCCAAGGTTTCCTGCATTGTTCAGTTTCTGTTCCATTTATTTGTTCCTTTCCTGTTTCCTTCTTTCAGTTCTGCATTACCTCCGTCGATATTAATCTTAACTCTGAGTAAGAAGGTTGGGAGAAGGTTTCCTCTGATCACCGTGTGTGTTGTGACCTTATAGATACATCGACAAGGGCTTCATCTGGTCAGTTGCCAATGAAACCGTGAGCACAGTGGTTGGGATTTTGGGGCCAACAGTAAGGAGGTCACCGTCATGATTTTCTTTCACAGCATTTACGTAAGCTTTCAGACTCCTTCCGCATTTAAAGCTCAATCCCTTGATAAAGCATTCAGGACGTGTGTGAGCAAAGCCAGTAACAACACTTCAACCAATGATGTTGAAGAACCAAGTCCAAACCAAAACGTTTAATTCAAAACGCAGTCAGAAATAAAGTAAGGAGAAGAAAGAATAGATGTAAAGGTGACAGCAAGTAGAAATAATGAAAAGATCTCCAGCAATAATCAAAATCCGCAGGAATGAGACTCTAAGTTTGTTAAAGTAATTGTTTGATGCAGCTGAGGTTGTTTGGTACCAAATAAGACTTGTGACTTTTTTTTATTAGGTTTTAATGAGATCACTACCCATTCATCAAAATTCGACAGAATACAGGATCAGTTTCCCCAACTACTCTCCATAGTTCTGGCATCCCAAAACAAGTTTGGTGAACTTTCATCCCTGTATTGCAATATTTTCCTTCCTTAGGTAAGGAGACAAAAGCTGCAAAGTACTTCAGGTGCAGTCTAAGGATGACAGCATTGTTGGCAAAGCCAGCATTCTTTACCCATCTTGACCAATTAAGTCAACCACATTGCCTCGGGTTTGGAGTCACATGTAGGCCTGACCAGGTGAGGATGGCAGTTTCCTTCCCTAAAAGACATTAGTGAACCAGTTGGCTTTTTCCTGACAATCAACAATGGATTCATGGTCGACCTTAGATGATTATAGAGTCCTACAACAGGGAAACAGGTCCTTTGGCCCAAATTGGTCCATGCCAACCAAAATGTCCATTCCGCTAATCCCATTTCCCTGCACTTGGCCCATATCCTTCTAAACCTTTCCTATCCCATGTATTTGTCCAAATGAGTTTAAATGTACCCACTTCAACCACTTCCACTGGCAGGTCATTCCATATGCATATCACCCTCTGTGTAAAAAAGTTGTCCCTCAAGGTTCCCATTTATTCTTTCCTCTCTTACCTTAAACTGCTGCCCTCTAGTCCTTAATTCCCCAATCCTGGGTAAAAGACTGAGTGCATTCACCCTATCCATGCCTCTCATGATCTTATACACTTCTAATAAGATCCCCCCTCAGTCTCCTACACTCCAAAAGAAAAAAGTCCTAGCTTGTCCAACCTCTCCCTATAACTCAGTCCCTTGAGTCCTGGTAACAACCTTGTCAATTTCTTTTGCACTCTTTCCAGTTTAACAACATCCTTCCTATAGCAAGGTGACCAAAACTGAACACAATACTCCAAGTGCAGCCTCACCAACATCCTGTACAACTTCAACATAACATCACAACTTCTGTACTCAATGCCTTGACTGATGAAGGCTCGTGTGCCAAGCACCTTCTTCACTGCCCTGTCTACCTGTGACTCCACTTTCAGAGAACCATGTACCTGAACTCCAAGGTCCCTCTGTTCCACTACACCCCTCAAGGCCCTACCATTCACCATGAAACTCCCACCTTGATTTGACTTTCCAAAATGCAACACCTCACACTTACCTATATTAAACTCCATTTGCCATTTCTCAGCCTAGTTCCCTAGCTAATCAAGATCCTGCTGCAATTTCTGATAATCTTCCTCACTGTCCACGATACCGCTTATATTAGTGTCATCTCCAAACTTACTAATCATGTGTTGTACATTCTCATTCAAATCACTGATTATAGATAACAAACAGCAATGGGCCCAGCACCGATCCCTGAGGCACACCACTAGTCACAGGTTTCCACTCCAAAAAGCATTCTTCCACCATTACTCTCTGCTTCCTAAAACCAAGCTCATTGTGTATCCAATTTGCCAGCTCTCCCTGGATTCCATGCAAACTTACCTTCCAGAGCAGCCTACCATGTGGAACCTTATCAAAGGCCTTACTGAAACCCACATAGACTATGTCTACTGCCCTGCCCTCATCATCATTCCTGATCATTTCATCAAAGAGCTCTAACAGATTTGTGAGGCATGACCTCCCACAAACGAAGCCATGCTGAGTACTCCTAATCAATCCATTTTTCTGAAGAAGGATCCTTAAGACCATAAGACATAGGAGCAGAAATTTGGCCATTGAGCCCATCAAGTCTGCTCCACCATTCAATCATGGCTGATAAGTTCCTCAACCCCATTCTTCTGCTTTTTCCCCGTAACCCTTGATCCCCTTGATAATCAAGAACGTATCTATCTCAGTCTTAAATGTACTCAATGACCTGGCCTCCACAGCCTTCTGTGGCAGTGAATTCCATAGATTCACCACTCTCTGGCTGAAGAAGTTTCTCCTTATCTCCGTTCTAAAGGGTCTTCCCTTTACTCTAAGGCTGTGCCCTCGGGTCCTAGAATTTCCTACCAATGGAAGCATCTTCCCAACATCCACTCTATTCAGTATTCTGTAAGTTTCAATTAGAACCCCCCTCATCCTTCTAAACTCGAATGAGTATAGTCCCAGAGTCCTCAAACGTTCCTCACATGTTAAGCCTTCCTTTCCTGGGACCATTCTTGTGAACCTCCTCTGAACCCGCTCCAGGGCCAGTACATCCTTCCTGAGATATGGGGCCCAAAACTACACGCAATACTCCAAATGTGGCCTGACCAGAGCCTTATAAAGCCTCAGGAGTACATCCCTGTTTTTATATTCAAGTCCTCTCAAAATAAGTGCCAACATTGCATTTGCCTTCCTGACTACAGACTCAATCTGCAAGCTTACCTTGAGAGAATCCTGGACTCGAACTCTCAAGTCTCTTTGCACTTCAGACTTCAGAATTTTCTCTCCATTTAGAAAATAGTCCATGCTTTTATTCTTCTTACCGAAGTGCATGACCTCACACTTTCCCACATTGTACTCCATTTGCCACTTCTTTGCCCACTCTCCTAACCTGTCCAAATCCTTCTGCAGCCTCCCCACCTCCTCAATACTACCTGTCCCTCCACCTATCTTTGTATCATCTGCAAACTTAGCCAGAATGCCCACAGTTCCTTCATCTAGATCATTAATGTATAAAGTGAAAAGTTGTGGTCCCAACACTGACCCTTGCGGAACACCATTTGTCACCGGCTACCATCCTGAGAAAGACCCCTTTATCCCCACTCTCTGCTTTCTGCCAGACAGCCAATCTTCTATCCATGCTAGGACCTTGCCTCTAACACCATGGGCCCTTAATCTTACTCAGCAGCCTCGTGTGTGGCACCTTGTCAAAGGCCTTCTTGAAGTCCAGGCAGATAATATCCATTGGTTCTCCTTGGTCTACCCTGCTCATGACTTCCTCAAAAAATCTAGCAGATTTTCTAGGCATGACCTCCCCTTGATGAAACCATGCTGACTTTGCCCTATTTTACTATACACTTCCAAATATTCAGAAATCTCATCCCTTACAATGGACTCCAAAATCTTGCCCACGACCGAGGTTAGGCGAATTGGCCTGTAATTTTCTGTCTTTTGCCTTACCCCCTTTTTAAACAGAGGTGTCATGTTAGCGATTTTCCAGTCCTTTGGGACCCTCCCTGACTCTAGCGATTCCTGAAAGATCACACTAACGTTTTCACTATCTCTTCAGCTATCTCCTTTAGAACTCTGGGGTGTAGTCCATCTGGTCCAGGTGACTTGTCCACCTTCAGGCCAATCAGTTTTATTAGCACCTTTTCCTTGGTGATGGCCCAAAATGTCAGCTTTCCTGCTCTTCTGATGCTGCCGAGCCTGCTGTGTTCCTCCAGCTCCACATCTCTGACTCCAGCATCGGCAGTTCCTACTATCTCCTAATCAAACCCTGTCTTTCCAAATGCATGTATATCTTATACTTCAGAATCTTCTCAAGTAACTTACCTACCACAGATGTAAGTTAAGCCATTTCTGATGAAGGGTCTAGGCCTGAAACGTCAGCCTTCCTGCTCCTATGATGCTGTTTGGTCTGCTGTGTTCATCCAGCTCTACATCTTGTTATCTCAGAGTCTCCAGCATCTGCAGTTCCTACTATTACAGATGTTAAGCTTACTGGTCTATAATTCCCAGGTTTTTCTTTGCAGCCCTTCTTGAACAACATTCGCTACTATCCAGTCTTCCAGGACCTCACCCATGGCCAACGATGATGCAAATATATCAGCAGGGCGCCCACAATTTCTTCCCTATCCTTTTGTAGGGGTCTTAGATATATTTGGTCAGGACCAGGAGATTTATCCACCTTCGTACATTCTAATACTTCCACACCTCCTGTACTGTGATATGGACTGTCCCCAAGATATCGCCACTAACGTCCCCAAGTTCCAAAGTCTTTCCGTCTTTCTCCGCATAAACACAGAGGAAAAATATTCATTGAGGGCCCCACCCATTTCTTGTGGTTCCACGCATAAATGTATTTTGGATTTTTTTTATTGAATTCAAATTCCACCATCAGCCATGCCAGGATTTGAAGTCAGGTTCCCATAACATTTTCCAGGCCTCTGAATTAACG